GCATTGAAGTCCCCCAGCAGAACAAGGGAGTCCCCAAGAGGTGCACTTTTCAGTACCCCCTCCAAAGACTCCAAGAAGGGTGGATAATCTGAACAGCCGTTTGGTGCATAAGCACAAACGACAGTCAGAACCCGTCCCCCCACACGTAGGCGGAGGGAGGCCACCCTCTCATTCACCTGGGTGAACCCCAACACACAGGCACCAAGTTGGGGGAGCAATAAGTATGCCCACTCCTGCTCGGCGCCTCTCACCAGGGGCAACTCCAGAGTGGAAAAGTGTCCAGCCCCTCTCAAGGAAACTAGTTCCAGAGCCAGAGCCATGTGTAGAGGTGAGTCCAACTATTTCTAGCCGGAACCTCTCAGCCTCACACTAGCTCAGGCTCCTTCCCCACCAGTGAGGTGACATTCCACGTCCCAATAGCCAGCTTCTGTAGGATCAGACCGCTAGTTCTGGGGGTTCTCTCCCAGAAATTTTTGAATAAAGTATATGTGATTTCTTGCATTTTTATGTATTTTAACAGGTTGTTAAACATCTACGTGCTTGTAAAATATATATATACTTTTTTTTTTTTTGGCGGACCTTCAAGCACCGGCTCGTGAGCCCCCGGGGATCCAGGGACCCCAGTTTAAGAACCACTGCTGTACACCAATGATCTATGCTCCAGTTCAGCTCCAGCTTAGCCTTATCACCACCACCTGGAACAGCCTACAGAAACTGCGTTTCACAGCTGACATTGTGTTTTACAGAAAATAATGTAAAATCAAACAAAACGGTTGAGATAATCATTGACTTCTGAAAAATCTACCTCCACACCCTCCTCTTATCAGAGTCGGAGAGATTTATTTGTCATACACACCACACGTGATACATGAGGTGGAATGAAACTATGTACACAGGGTCCCAATTATTTCCAATAAAAACACAAATTGTAAAGAAAAACATAAGATCCGAGTCATGAACTAAGAATATACTACATTCACTAAACTAGGGGGGAGTGGTGGCGCAGAGGTTAGAGAGGTGGGCTTGTGATCCGAAGATCGCCGGTTCACGCCCCGGCCCCGACAACATCAAAAAATTGTGGGTGGGGTAGGTGAAACACCCACACTTGCCCCCACCCTCATTCGCCCCACTCTGGGCCCATGAGCAAGGCCCTTAACCCCCACCATGTGCTCCCTGAACAGGTCTCTCTTGAAAATGAGTTCTCGTGGCTCAATGAGACTAACCTGTATAAATAAAGGCTAAATGAAAAAAAATGAATAAAAAATTCACTAAACTAAGAATACACTAAGCACTAATGGTACAAAAAAATGCGTCAAAACAACAGCAGCACAAACATGAGTCTGTGTGAGCAGATGAGTACTAATGAACACAACAACATGAAATGATCAGCATCATGGATAGTCAGCAGCACATATCAAGTGGCACATCAAGTGGCATTACAGCGATTTTCTTTTTTTTTTTTTCCCCACAGTAATTTTTCACTGTAATTTTCAGTGATTTTTCCTGGTTATAAATTCATGAGTTTAACAGCCTCAGGGTAGAAGCTGTTCCTCAGCCTGGTGGTTCTGCACTTAATGCTCCTCAGCCTTCTGCCTGAGGGGAGCGGGGCAAAAAGTCATTGTGTTGAAGGCAGATGTGTAGTCCACAAAGAGCATACGGATGTAGGAGTCCTTCTGTTCCAAGTGGGTGAGAGCAGTGTGGACCACAGAGCAGATTTATCATTAATGGCATTGCTGTAAAAGAGGTCCTGGGCGTCTTCATTACCAGTGACCTGAAATGGGCAAAACACTCAAAACAGTGTTGTTAAGGCTCACGGTAGGATGCATGCACTTCAGTGGCTTAAAAAGCTAAACATCTCCACTGACGTGTGTATCCAGTTCTACAGAGCCGCCATCAAGAGTGTCCTGACATCCTCCATTTTAGTTTTACCCTGGCTCACCTGTCCACACTACACATCAACTTGATCACATCATCAAGCCTGGCAGTAAACTGACTGGAAAACACCAACAGCCATTGAATGATATGCACAGTGCTAGTGATAAAATGAGCTTGGAAAATAGCAGAAGACTCAAGTCACCTGGCACAACCCTTAAAAAATAAATAACTTTCCTCTGGCCGAATGTCTTGTAATGACATGCTGGTGAAGATTCTCAGTCATCCAGGACAATTCAAAAAGCGTTCACTACAAAAAACAACTGGACTTTATTTGTAACAGAAGACGTTTCGCTCCTCATCCGAGGAGCTTTCTCAATTCAAAGATCAGTGAGTGAGAGATTCAGGTTTTAAGACTGAGTGACATTAGACACACACACACGTAAATTTGACAAGTCACACCTCCACACCTTAACAGTAGGGGGTTTCTTAAAGTCTTTGTTACTCTAATTCACAGATGAGGTCCCTCTGTTTCCATCAGGTGTGAAAACCGGCTGGGAATCAGTCTTAAAGTTGCATTATAGGTTTTTGAAAGTGGAAATCTGAGGCCTCCTCCTCTGTTAAGAGACCGCTTTTCTCTTTTTACATAAATTGCTTCCTTCACCCCCCCTCTCAAACCATCTGTGTTCTTCGTCCAAAAGAGTGTCCCTTATCTGTGAGGTGGAGGTGAACAGCTGAGTCTTGTCCTGAGGCTCTCCTGTGTTGAGCCATGTGTCTGTGAAGAGGCTGTTTAGTTTCTCCAATGTAGAGGTCTGGACAGTCCTCGCTGCACTGGACCACATACACAACACCACTCTGTTTGTGTATCGGTATTCTGTCCTTAGGGTGGACCAGCCTCTGTCTGAGAGTCCTGCTGGGTTTGAAATGTATTGGGATGTTGTGTTTGTTGAAGATTCTTCTGAATGTATCAACATAAGGGATGACAATGTTTTTCCATCTGTTGTTCTCCTTTTTCTGTTTATTAGTGTGTTTTGTAGATTTCTTCACTGACTTGACAAAAGCCCAGTTAGGATATCCACATGTTTGAAGAGCTTCTTGAATGTGTTTCTGTTCCTTTTCCTTCCCTTCTGTAAAGCTGTAAAGTTCTGATGACAGAGTTTGTGTTCCAGTGGATGGTGAGAGTCAAACAGAAGATACTGGTCTTTGTGGGTTGGTTTTCTGTAAACTTCAATGTTGAGGCTGTCCTCTCTTTCCATATGAACCAAACAGTCCAAAAAAGGCAGCTTGTTGTCGTTTGCATCCTCTCTGGTGAACTTGATGTTGTTATCGACCGAGTTAATGTGTCTGGTGAACGCTTCTATTTCCATGGCTTGGATTTTGACCCAGGTGTCATCCACATAACGGAACCAATGGCTCGGCTTAGTTCCCTCATAGGAGTGTAGGGCTCTCTGTTCCACTTCCTCCATGTAGAGATTGGCAACAATGGGTGACACTGGAGATCCCATGGCACAGCCGTGCTTCTGTCTGTAAAAACTGTCATTGAACTTGAAATACGTGGTGGAGAGGCAGAGATCCAACAGGGCGCAGATCTGGTCTGGGGTGAAGTTGGTCCTGTTGATTAAGTCCTTGTCTTGTAGAAGTTGTTTTCTGACGGTTTCTACTGCTTCAGAGATGGGTATGCATGTGAAAAGAGAAGTCACATCATAAGATACAAGGGTTTCTCCTGGGGTTAGTTTCAAGTGTTGAACTTTGTTAGCAAAATCAATGGAGTTCTTTATGTGATGAGGTGTGTTTCCAACAAGAGGAGCTAAAATACCAGCCAGATGTTTAGCAATATTGTATGTCACTGAGTTCATGCTGCTGACGATGGGTCTGAGTGGTGTTCCTTCTTTGTGGATTTTTGGAAGTCCATAAAGACAGGGAGTGGCTTCCCCTGGGTACAAACTATAATACAACGATCGATTGATTCTTTTCCTTTTCAAGTTTTTGCAGGTAATCTGTGACTTTCTTTTTGTAGGCGCTGGTTGGGTCCCTCTTCAGGGTCTCGTAGGTGTTGCTGTCGCTCAGTAGTGTAGTTATTTTTTCCTGGTAATCAGAAGTGTTGAGGACTACTGTGCATCTTCCTTTATCAGCTGGTAAAATGGTGATGTTTTGGTCCTGGCTGAGTGATGTTACAGCTTTCCTTTCCTGTGGTGTGAGGTTTGAAGGAGGCGGTTTGGCACTGGAGAGGGTTGCTGATATTTCCATTCTGAGCTGTTCTGCCTCTCCTTCCATCAAGTTGTTGTTCCTAATCACGGATTCAGTGGCCGTGATTAGTTCCTCAACAGGTATTTCTTGTGGGGAGATGGCAAAGTTTAGTCCTTTTGTCAGCACATCTTTTTCAGGTTGTGTCAAGGTTCTGTTAGACAAATTTCTAACCCACTGGTCCTGAAAATTTGTGTTGGCGACAACCTCCTAATCTTGAATGATGGTTTGTGATGAGAAAACCGCTCTCTGTTGTAATTTTAGAAACTTACTTTTTTGATGTTCCTTGCTCTTTTGATGCTGTGAAAGCTGGGCCTTTTCAACAAAACAAGAAACTTCTTCCAACAGAGGAAGTGGTAGCCAAGTAGACAGCTTCTGGAGGGTTTGATCCATTTTGAGTGAGAGAGCTTCAATGGTGAAGTGTATCTGTCTTATTCTTTCATTGACTTTACTCACAAAGACTTTAAGAAACCCCTACTGTTAAGGTGTGGAGGTGTGACTTGTCAAATCTACATATGTGTTTGTGTCTTATCTCACTCAGCCTTAAAACCTGAATCTCTCACTCACTGCTCATTGAATTGAGAAAGCTCCAAAACCATCAGACACAAAACTAGATTTTTTCCCCACTGCTGTCTCCCATCTTAATAACTTTTTCTTCTCCAGCAATGCAACTACAAAAAAATTCCAGTGAACAGATCCTTTTGAATTTGGCTAAATAATTGTGATTGATTGATTGAAAATGTTAACTGACTGCAGTCTCGGTTCAATGTGATTGTAGATACTTGCAACACAATGAAGGCTATTTAAAATCAGTATGTTCTTTGTTTTTTAATTGGAATGCTTACATTTTTCAATTCATCCTTTGTTTCTCTTTCCAATTCTAGTTTCTTCCACCCCAGGGTCCAGGGATAAAGCCACCTTTTCAAAATGCTCCTTTTGGACCTGGTTCCACCCAACTGTTCCACACCCCCCAGCAGCCATCTCAGGACTGCAATGACTCACTGACGACTAAAATGGGCTTCTCCGACTGGTCGGCTCCATACGACTCAACGCAGGGTGGAAGTCGGTTACCCAATCATCACACCAGCACTCAGTCTGGTCCCTCTCCGTCTCCCTCTTCATCATCAGATGGAGATGAACCAAGTGACAACAACCCAAAGTAAAGTACCATGCACAACTTACATGTACGGAAAGAGATCCAAAGCACTTAAAGCTTTTTTTGGTTGCTCAGAAGCAGAGCGTAATGTTCTTAGCATGTTGGCATTTTACAGTTTGCAGGAGGAGTGTTCATAAGCTGAACAAATAAATAGAAACTGCTGGTTGAAAGTAGGAATGGATGATATGGACATAAAATTATTACATTGTCTGCCATTTATGTTATTACAAAAGAAATTATGCTAAAACAAATTAAACTTCAAGACCACATGTATTGTCTACAAAACTATCACAAACACAAATATTTTTTTCAAAATAAAGCTTTCTTGTTATTAAATACGCTTCTACACCTATCACATTTAGTTACTGTAGTACAAATGTGATTGTAATGTCAAAGTCTACAATACGGTCGAAGGTTAGAGTCTAGTCCCTAAAACATATTTTACCAAGCTTTGGGATTTTTCAAAACTCCATCCATCCATCATCTTCCGCTTGTTCCGAAGTCGGGTCTCTGAGGCAGCAGCTTGAGCAGGGAGGTCCAGACATCTCTTTCCACAGCCTCTTCCAACTCTTCTGGGAGGATTCCAAGGTGTTCCCAGGCCAACTGAGAGACAGTCTCTCCAGCGTGTCCTGGGTCTTCCCCGGGGTCTCCTCCCAGTTGGACAAGCCCGAAGCACCTCTCTACGGAGGCGCCTAGGGAGCATCCTTACGAGATGCCCGAACCATCTCAACTGACTCCGCTCAATGTGGAGGAGCAGCGATTCTACTCCCGAGTCTCTCCCAGATAACTGAACTTCTCACCCTATCTCTAAGGGTGAGTCTGCAGAGGAAACTCATTTCAACTGCCTGTATCCACGATCTCATTCTTTCGGTCACTACCCAGAGCTCGTGACCATAGGTGAGTGTAGGAATGGAGACAGACCGGTAAACAGAGAGCTGTGCCTAACAGCTCAGCTCCCTCTTCACCACAACGGTGATATTACGCAGGTGGAAGAAGGTGGTTCTAGTAACGTTTTTAATGTGGGGGATAAAAGACATGTCCTGATCAAAAATAACACCAAGATTTTTAACATTAGAGCTGGAGGACAGATTAATGCATCTAAGGAGGGAGAAAGACTGAAAAATTAATTCCTAAGGTGCTCAGGTCCAAAAACCAAAACCTCAGTCTTGTCTGTTCAACAGGAGAAAATTAAGGGTCATCCAGGTTTTTATGTCTTTAAGACATGCTTGTAGTCTAAGTAGCTGATTGGATTCATTGGGTTTAATGGACAAATATAATTGTGTATCATCAGCATAACAATGGAAATTTATCCCATGCTGTTTAATAACTTTACCTAATGGAAGCATATATAAAGTAAAGAGTATTGGCTCAAGCACTGAGCCCTGAGGAACTCCATGACTAACTTTGGTGTATGAAGAAGATTTATTATTTACATTTACAAACTGGAATCTATCAGATAGATATGATTTAAACCATTTTAGAGCCGTTCCTGTAATTCCAACATCATATTTAAGCCTCTGTAGTAAAATATTGTGATCAACTGTATCAAACGCAGCACTGAGGTCTAACAGGACCAGTATAGACACAAGTCCATTGTCTGAGGCCATGAGAATATCATTAGTGACTTTTACTAGTGCTGTTTCTGTGCTATGATGAGCTCTAAACCCTGACTGAAACTCTTCAAACAGATCATTTCTTTGTAGATGTTCACACAACTGACCTGAAACTATTTTCTCTAGAATTTTTTAGATGAAAGTTAGATTAGATATAGGTCTATAGTTGGCCAGAATTTCTGAATCAAGATCAGACTTCTTGTTAAGATATTTCCTATTTAGACTGGCCCAATGGATTTGATCTGCTCAGAGACGGGATTATAATGAAATTATGACCCGGTTCTGACTTGGGTAAACTGGGCCAGCAAACTCTTGAGAGAGTCTCCCTGATAATTCAATATCTGTCAAGAAATAGTTTAATCAGCTTGCCACATCACGTAGGAAGGCTTTAAAGCACCGTCTCATGTTTTCCTTACACGACAGTACACATAAGACCACACTTAGTCCTGCCCCCATACACTGACAGGTTGAGCTAAGTAAAGGTTTAATTACAGCAACCTTAAAGCGCTGTGGTACATAACCATCCATTAAAGACAAATTAAGTAGATCCAAAATGTGGACATTAATTAGGGGGAATACCTCTTTAAACTGTCTGGTTGGGATGGGATCTAGCAGACATGTGGATGGTTTGGATGAGGTTATTATTTTTGACAATTCAGAGAGCTCAACAGGACAAAAACTGTCCAAACATAAATCAGGCTCTAGTGAAATTTTTGAAGTTGTCTCATTTGACAGGGGACTAGAGATAGTAGAAGGAAGGATGGTTTGAATTTTCTCTCTAATTGAAATAATTTTATTTATAAAGAATCTCATGAAGTCATCACTACTTATAGTTGTAGGGATACATGGTTCAACAGAAATGGGACTTTTAATTAGTCTAGCAATAGTACTAAACAGAAACCTAGGGTTATTTTTATTCTCTATTAAAGATGAGTAATATAAAGTTCTAGCTTTACGGAGAGCTTTTTTATATGTTAGCAGACTATCTTTACAAGTTAAATAAAATTCTTCAACATTAGTAGAGCACCATTTTCTCTCCTGGTTTCTAGATGCTGCTTTAAAGTACGTAACTCAGAATTGAACCAAGGAGCCAGTTTCCTCTGATTGATTACTTTCTTTTTCAGTGGAGCAATTTTATCAAGTGAAGTTTGCATTGAAGTTGTAAGATGATCAACTAGATGATCTAAGTCACCATTCTTTGATGCATTACTCTGCAAGACAGAGGAAAACATTGATGGAAGAGATTGTTTAAATTTGGTTACAGCATTTTCTGATAAGCACCTGCTGAGATGAAATTTACTCTCAGTGACTGTGTAGTCGTTTAATGAAAATGAACTCTAAAATGAACAGGCAGCCATTGGAGTGAAGCCAGAGTGGGGGTGATGTGCTCCCTCTTATGAACTCCAGTTAGATGCCGAGCAGCAGGGAGTGACAGAACCCCACACAAGGAAATTGATAACTACAGCAAATGTTTTGAGATATTCTGGAGTCTCCCCTTTTGATGCCCTTCACCAATAGCCCAGTGAGGTATTGCCTTTATCCTTGCGATGTTAGTGAAACAATTATTCTTAATTGAAGCTGTTTGTCCTGTTTTGTGCAGGAGTATAGAACACAACATCACACAGCTTCCTTTTGTGTTCTAATGAAGCAGTTTTTTATTAAGTTTTGAAGTTCACTGGGATGTGTTGTGTTTGGAGCAAATTCTTCAATAGACATCGGATGCCACTTATGGAATGGCACCGTTTTGTGCTAGTTTTTCCATTTTATTTGAATTTTGGTATTTGCAGATTTGAAATTATTTTGTTATGTCAGCATATCTCATTTTTCAAGTACTACAATTATAGACTAAAATTAAAAATATCAAGCAATTTATTTATTTATTTATTTATTTTTTTTTTGATTTGGCTGTTTATTTGTCATGTTGCAGTCTGATCGGATCATAATTAGGGATGGGGCCGATCCGATCCAGTATCTGTATCGGCCTCCAATACCAGCATAATTTACGTATCGGATTTTTCCGATCCACCTGCCGATATTTCCGATCCATGATGCATGTTGGCTTCAAACTACGGAATGGATTTCCTGAACGGAGGCGTGTCTCATGAGCCCAGAGTAATAAGACCTGCCTCACATTCAGGAAATCCAGTTCATAGCTTGCAGCCATCTACAACGTGAGGACTGAGTTAGCAGCACTGTAGCTAACAGCTAACAAACTTTTCATCTAAACATGTCGCTGTGTGGAAGTATTTTACACTAAACACCACAAAACAAGACAGCAACGTGCAATGTCTGCAGAGCCACATTAAACCACGGTAAAGTTTGTTTTACAATGGACATTCGAGCTCCGTGGCTTCAGCGGGACGCTGCTCTTTGCTCAACCGAAAGAGGCGACTCGACCTCGTCCAGCCTCATCCAATCTGCCCCGCTCAGTCCCTCCGTCTCTGAGGAGGGACAGACTGAGCGCGGCTGCCCCAAATCAGGCTGCCTGCTTCGGACTGAACAAGAAGAAGACGTCGCTGAAACCACGGAGCTCTAATGTTTACAGAGAAGTTGCTAAACTTCATCATAATTAATGTCCAACCACTGTCAGTTGTAGAAAACAAAGGATTTCACAGTTTGATACTTGCAGTCAAGATCTAGTTTACCCTCCAGGAGATCATCAAAAAGAAAACATTGAATGAAAAGAGTGCAGAAAGAAGAAAATAATTCTTATATCTGCCCCTTATTTAAAAAAATATAAAACAACTTAAAACAACCACTTAAATTAATCACTTTAATATCCACTTTAAAGCTAGGAATAAAAAAAACATGTTTTGTGTTAGAATTTAATTCTAACTTTAAAACTTATCCAACATTAATAAAACTTACCTCAAGTTGCCTTTTTGGACATGCATGCATATATTTGTACAAATTGTACTTGAGAGGAGATTATTACAGCCTCATATAAAATCAGTGATGATCATGATATCGGAACTGGATTGTATCAGGCAATATTTAGATGTAGGTATCGGGATCGGATCGAAAAAATAAAAAATAAAAAAAAAAATAAAAAGTGGATCAGTGCATCCCTAATATCCATCCATCCATCCATCCATTATCTTTACCCGTTTATTCCATTTTGGGTCACAGGTGTCACCGGTGCCCATGTCCAGCAATCGCTGTGCGAGGGGCGGGGGACACCCTGGACAGGTCTCCAGTCCATCACAGGGACACATAGAGACAAACGAGACAAACAACCATTCACTCTCTCACTCACACCTAGGGACAATTTAGAGTTACCATCAGCCTAACATGCATGTTTTTGGTCTGTGGGAGGAAACTGGAGCACCCGGAGAAAACCCACGCATGCACGGAGAGAACATGCAAACTCCACCCACAAGGCCCCTGGACCGGGGTTTGAACCAGGGACCTGTTCGCTGAGAGGCAGCAGCTCTACCAGTTGCGCCACCGTGCTGCCCGCATCCCTAATATATATATATATATATATATATATATATATATATATATATATA